TATCTTCCCTTTTCTATTCTGTCCTTTTGCTGCATTCAGTCTTCAACCCTCTTATTGTTGTTAACTACTTGTTTTCCTAAGAAGTTTATATCATAGCGACATGTCTGCCCAAAACGCTAGGTCTGAAGCTTTGACACGGATAACGCGGTCGTGCACAAAAACGGCCAAAAACACCCTAGACAACACACTAGTCTGTACTAGAATGCAAACAGAGGTAGGGCAGAACACCGAACTTCTAAAGAAGTGGCCAACCCATGTTTCTAGAATTCCAGTAGCCATCAGACAGGTGACACAGAGTAGCACTAGCCCGTCACAAACTAGTCCTATCTTGAGCAAGGATCATACCATGCCTGGAAATAGAAGACGACGTAAAAGGCTTCAGCACAAGGCAGCCACAGGCAGTTCGTCACAATCCGTAGCACCTAATTCATGCAAGGAATGCTGTATTACGACACCCGATGGCTGCAGTGTTTGCACCAAAGTTGTTTCGGTAGTCGATGAGGCATTTGCATGCAACCTATGTCAACGATGGGCGCATTGTCACTGCGACACCAAAGTCCCCCGACAATACTATAAGTTGATGAAGAGACAACCATGCAAGTGGTTCTGGTACATCTGTCCAGAGTGCAGGAAAATGCCCGCACTGCGCACAGAAAGCCTGAAGGAGATGCTCTCCGCCACGCAAAAGCTACCAGCACCCTCGAATAAAGTAGGGTTAACACCAAAAGATAACACACAGAGACCTGGAAACAGACCTAGAGCTCCAGCTGCCGGCACGCCACCTCGCGTGGGGACCATATTAGGTCAAGTCTCCATACCTCCTACCCGGCCCCAGGGGACGTCAAGCGTATGGCCAAAGACATCGACCGCTAAAGCCTCTACGAAACCCATTCCAAACACCTTACACACCGTGACTGAGAAACAACCAGTGGAATTACTCAAACCCATTGGGAAGTCAAGCGTGCCACCCACAACGAACCCAGGTCACAGGAGGACCAACTCGATCATTTTGTTCAACGTCGATGTATCGACAGACTCATTGTTGGTCGAGAGGGAACGGTTTGACAGCCGAATGTGGACCGACTACTGTCAGATGCTAGGACTCCCTCCCCTCCCTGCAACTTTATGTCGCCTTTCTCGAGGAAGCCGTGCACCCCGAGATAAGCCACCCCCTCTACGTGTGTCCCTAAATACTACCAAAGAGGCTGAAGACACACTCCTCCTCTCGCGACAACCGGACGTTGTTAATGCCTGTAAAATTCGGGCCAGGCCTGACAAGCCATGGTCAATAAGAGAGGAGGAGAGAAAGTCAGCGGTTGGAAATCCCAACAGAAACAACACTATAGTTGTACATGGGATTCCAGAATTGCCAAGTGACCGCTCGGTCAAAGATCGGTACTTTCATGACGTCCAACAATGGCAATGGCTCTCAACCAAAGTTGGTCTCAACAGCATACCGGCCAACAGCGTCAGTAGACTGCCAAGGCCAGCGCACCTGAAGACCATACCCAATCCCAGACTACTCGCCGTCCAGTTCGACTCACATGCCTCCCTCACAGACGTTCTACAGGCATGGTATAATGCGAAGGATCGCATGGGTGGCTCAATACGTATATGTGAAAGTAAGCCTAGACCCACAAGGCAAGAGGAGAGACGACAACCACCAAGACCCTGGAGTCAGTGGTCGTCACACAGGCGCTGACCAGTGAGTTAGATACATCAAGTAAAGAAGCTACCACTGCCACAGCCCCCACCCAAGTTAATAACAAAACACCAAAAAACGGAACAATGCCAGTCCTATGAGGACTGGCGAGGGTAGACCCAACCACATAAGCTGTCATCCTGCGAAAATACACAACCAGACCTCCCCCTCACCAGGCACACTCTAATATGTATGTACAGCAACGTTAGGGGGCTAAGAGGGAAGGTAGCAGAAATGAGGACGCTGCGTGCACATCAGCACTCCGACATCATATTCATCACCGAATCCTGGCTCTCATCGGACATCTCCGACGAAGAGATGCATGTTACTGGCATGGAACTCTTCCGCAGGGACAGGGAACATAGAGCAGGAGGAGGAGTGGCTATCTACGTAAACTCTTGTTTAAAGGCAAGGATGGTTAGCGATACGGCCTTAACCCAGCTCCCAGAGTCCCTATGGTGCTACTTCACTCTCCACAGTACCAAATATTTGCTCGGAGTCATATATCGGTCCCCCACCTGCTCCCCTACACATAAGGAAATGATCATCAAGGCTATCTTAACGACTTCCTCTGCAAATTACGATTCCGTAGTCATTGCCGGCGACTTCAACACCCCGTCCATCCTCTTCGAGACGGAAGGGAGACGCATCAGATCCTTCAATCAGAAGCTGAAGGATGCAATTAAGACTGCTGGCCTCTCAGAGAAAGTGGGTGATGCTACACGCTGGGGACCTAACGGAAACGCATCGCGCCTTGACTACGTTCTGACGAACGATGAACTTCTCATTGAGGATGTTTGCATCCAACCTCCCCTTGGCCTCAGTGACCACGCTGTAATCACCTTCTCCATGATAACTAGGGAGGCTCTGCAACTGGAGACGCCCAACACCTTCCCTTGCTACAGCAAGGCCAACTATGAGACCATGAGGGACTACCTCATGAATGCATCATGGCCAGTGGACTGGACTCATCTCACAATAGATGAACACTGGTTGGAGGTGAAGAAAATAATCACTGGGGCCATCAGTCACAGTGTACCAGAAGTAACACACAGACAATCAATGAGAACCTCATGGTTAAAGCGTGGGACAGAGAGGCTTATCCGGAGCAAGAAGCAGGCTTGGTTCAAGTGGCTTACATCACGCAGGGAGTCTGACTTCTTGAACTATAAAAGGATTCGCAATCTCTGTAACATTAGAGTGCGTAACGACAGATTTTCCTACCAAACAAACTTGGCAGCGAGGTTACAAAGCAACCCCAAAAACCTGTACCGCTTCATGTCAAGAAGAAAGTCGACCAGTAAGGGAGTGAATCTTGTCACAGGCCATGACGGGAGTGTGCTAAGCAGTCTAGAGATTGCCGAGCTTTTGAGCTCACACTTCCAAGCCCAACTCAGCACTGACACAAGATCCACACCGACTCGCCACGACACCGACCAGGTCGCAAATAACGAATACCTCTGTCACGTCTCTATTACAGAGAAAAAGGTGTTCGAGAAGCTATCTAGGCTACGTCCGGGCAAGTCCCCTGGCTGCGATAATCTGAAACCAGTGGTTCTGAAAAACTGCGCCGAGGTGCTTACCAAACCACTTCGCAACCTCTTTGAGCACTCAATAGACTCGTGCAAACTCCCTAAAGAATGGAAGAGTGCCATCTTGTCACCCATCTTCAAGGGAGGAGACAGAAAAAACCCTGGCAGCTACAGGCCGATTGCCCTACTCCCTATTGTGTCGAAAGTGTTGGAAAGCCTGGTAGCTGACACCATCTGGGAATTCCTCAATAGAGAAAACACTGTCCACACTGCTCAGCACGGCTTTCGTAGTGGTCGCTCATGTGCCACCAACTTACTAACTGCCTGGGACGACTGGACACAAAGCTGGGATAATAGAAAACCTGTACATGCTGTATTTCTCGACCTAGCCAAAGCATTTGACAGTGTCCCACCCACAGTACTGCTTCACAAGATCATGTCAGCTGGTATAAGTGGACCCCTACTCTCTTGGTTCAAGGAGTACCTGGAAGGGAGGCAGTTCTGCACTAAAGTGAACAGAATAAGGTCGGAGTGGAGACCGTCGACGTCAGGAGTATCCCAAGGAGCAATCCTAGGACCGCTTCTGTTCCTCCTCTTTGTCAACGATCTGCCAGACAAAATATCCTCACCCATCCTCCTCTTCGCTGACGACATAAAAATTTGGAGGGTGGTAAACGAAGAAGCCGACTGTGCAGCACTACAAAAGGACTTGCAGCAACTCGAGCTCTGGTCGTCGGAAAATGGTCTGAGCTTCAACTGGAAAAGTGCAAAGTAATGCACATCAGTAAAAATGAGGCAAGTACGACCGACTTCCAGTACATGTTGAGCAACCGTGCTATCACCAGAGTGTCCATGGAGAAAGATTTGGGGCTCAACTTCTCCGACACCTTGGACACCAGCTCCAACTACAAAGGTATGACAACCAGAGCGAACGCCATTCTACACTTTCTGCGTAGACAGCTTGGCGCCCTCACTCCCGAACTCTTCCTCACCATTTTCAAATCCTACGTGCGGCCGCACCTAGAGGTCTTCAATACGGTGGCTCCTCCAACACTCAAGAGAGACTCTAATCTCCTTGAAAGAATACAAAGAACTGCAACAAAATCAGTTGTGGGGCTAAGGGGAAAGACGTATCCTGAAAGACTTAAACACCTCAACCTATTTACCTTGGGTTATCGCAGGAAAAGGGGTGACCTCATTATGGCATACAAGATCGCCCATCAGGCAGACCATGCAAACAAATCAATTTTGCCTGCAACTGAACGATCTTCACGAGGAAACCCCTTTAAGATAGCACACCAGAGAGCCAACACCACACTCAGGTCCAAATTTTTCTCCCTGAGAGTATGTGCTTTATGGAATGCCTTACCGCGACACATCGTTATAGCTCCTTCAATCGACTCTTTCAAGAGGCGATTAGACAGTTATGTCACCTCGCATGGACTACCACGGACGTACTCAGGTAGTCACCAACCTCAGTACCCCCAACTCCCTCCTAACTACCACTCACTATCTCTCTCCTTAATACACCCACATTACCTACTAATTCTTCTGTAGGAACCAAACCCACGCGACCATTCGCGCAATTCCCAAATACTTTTCTTTCGTTCTCATTTCTCTTTTCACCCCTTCTTTTATTCTCCTTCCCTTTCCTCTTCCCTACATTATTATTACTATTATTTTTATTTTTAATTTTATTTATTTATTTATTTTTTTTTTTTTTTTTTTTATTTATTTATTTATTTATTTTTTTACTCTTCCTTACTTCTCTCTTCATTCCTTTACCACTACCTTAATATTCTCTTTCAGGTACCTACACAGACAGGAGTCACGGTTGTTCTCTAAACTTCCCAGCAGCCCGTAGCTCCCTAATCACTCTACAAATTACAACCTACTAACCCACAAAACATCCACCTCACCGAAGCTAAAAGCAAGAAAGCAGAGGGGATTTCCTCGTCCACTGCAGGAGTGAACCGAACAACTGGAACCAAGCCCTAAGAACTAGACGCGAGAGATCAAAAACTACTAGTTTTCTACGCTCGCACTATCAATATTGGATATTGGATATTGGATCAGCTTTAAATAATTTGCGAATCAGACTCCTCAGCTAATGAATGAGTTTTTCTTGCGAAATCGCTGCGGCGTTGATATTTATCTAACTAACTACTAAATAATGCTGACTTAGGACACGTAACAGAAAATTTGTTTAAATACTTCAGAGCAATATGTTAGTTTTAAGCTCTTTTTCGATGATATAACTATGTCAGACGTATTCTTGTATATTTATGATCTTTCTGGAGGTCTAGCTACCCTTCTGAGTTCCCAGCTGTTAGGTATGTTGACTACTTTTTTAGTATTTAAATTTCTACCAAAGGGAGGCAAATAGGTGGAATATGGCATACTGCAGCTGTTTTATATGATAAGGAGTTTTTCTTTTGTCAGTCTGGAATTCAGTATTGCAAGCCAGTAAGTTTAATGTAATTACGGACCAAAAACGAATTTTTCTGTAACCATTCTAACGTTATATCTTTGCTGTAGTCTTAATCATATTGATATAGACATCGATAAAGACTAAATGTGTACTGGAAAATGTGATGGAAAACTCAAAAAACCTAGGATAGCAGGTGATAACCACAGATCCAAATAAATTTGTTGCCAAATGATTTATTTGACCGACCTCCACTCCATATTTGACCCATGTAAATACAATATCCAGCCACCATTTACTTCGAACGCACCTTGGGTTTTAGCCCGAACCTAAATTTCAAAACTTTGGCTTTTAATGAAGTCATTTGGTGGGATTGGGGTGGTTTAAGTGTCGAAGATGAACTGCAGTGATTGGTTTTCGGTTCACACTGTAAGGCATATAGTTAGTCAACCAACACGTCAAACAAGAATGTCGGGGATTACGGAAATACTACGGTAAATGCTCTGTTTAGGAATACGATAATGTGATTTTTGAGCAGATTTTCCTGCCTTCCCCGCATTACCATGGCATTACCTGCATTATTTGTGCAGTTCGCATATTTCTTAGTGTTCCCATTACTTCCGTATTCAACGGAATTGTCTTCATATTCCTGTTTAACGGATGGTTACACTACACTTCTAAGAACTTTACGTATCAACTTGGATGTGTGATTAAAAATATCCTAATATAATTGATCGTTTTCACTCTTTATGGAATTTCTAATGATTCATAACCCTAACTTAATTGTACATGGTGGAATTTCGCCGTCCTTCAGCAGTTACCAAATAACCCATAGCGCGTCCGTAAGGAAACAGTTACTTATGCCTTTCAATACGAAAAAAGGGAAATTACAGTATGTATGGCTGTTTATTTGCTGTTTTATAATGTAATGGCTATTGTAAACCCACTTGAAATCAAATGGTAGGGTTTATATGTCTAAAATAGGAATCGTGAATAGTTTATAGGGTTCGCAACCTGATACTTATGTACGCTCCACTTGGATCTTCTTGTTTGTAATTTGGTTCTTTGTAGAGAATGCAGACACATTAATAACCCCCTAAACCCTACCCCAGAATAGGTGAATAATGGAAAACGAAAATATGTGTAATTCCCTTCGACTCAGTCTAACTTGTCATCAAAACTCCATAAGCATATCCATAATAAGCGATATCTTTTCTGTAATGCGAAACTTCCCAGAACGACTCAACCGTTATCCTCAACTTAATTGACTACTTCAGAGTCCGTGGGTAGTCGCTCAACAACGGCGAAATTCTTTTGTTCTCTATTACCTATTTATAAATAACCTTAACAGTCACTTGTTCAGAAATCGTCCTCTGGGCTCATACGCTACGCTTACTTTCTTCTGTATCATAAGGGTGCAGACTATTTCTTGTTTTGCAAAGTTAAGAATATTTTTTGGTGGTGCATACGTAGTATGCCCAACTTTGTTATAGACTTTCTTATGGAGGTCTTCCTCTCGTCGTCTGACTTCACAGAGACTAACCTAGTCACAGGAGAATCCTTGGTAGATCTAGAATGCACAGGTGATACAGTCCTGTCACGCGAAGATGCAGACGGTGCAGAGTCTTCCGTACACCTTGAGTGGCGGTTCTAGAAAGTTTGAGATATGTTTATCGCCGCTTAGATACAAACTTTGCTCCGAGATTGGTCGTCTGCGGTGCCCCAGCTAACAACAGAGAGTGTTGTTGTGGGCGTAAAAAAATTCGTTTGCCTGAGAAGTCGGATCAGTCCTGGTGGGCCAGAGGGTGACAAAATCTCAAGAAAAATACTCAAGTCTTGATTGGCTTTTTCTAACTTACACCATCTTTGGCGCCACCACGATATTCGATTGTCGATTAAGGGTTGAGTGTACTGTACTGCAGCTCTCTTTATTCTGCTGTAAGACGGTGAAACATGGTCACTAAAGGTTGAGGACGTCAGAAGATTTCTGGTGTCTGACTAGTGCTACTTTAGTAGCATAGACTGCGTGTCTTGGTGTCACTCTCAGTAAGGCAGAAGTCAGGTGTACAGTCTTAGGGAAGAGAGGAAAGTCAGTTAGTGTGGTTGCGAACCTACACCGACTGTGATGACTGGGAAATGTACTGCACACGCTTAGTCACCGTCTGCCTCTTCGAGCAATGTTAGTTGAAGTAGGTTTAAGCTGGTAATGGGCTCAGGGTAACCAGACTAAAACATAACATTAATGCATGAAGCCCTTGACTGTTAGTTTGATTCATGCAGGGAGATGCAGACTAGCCGGTTGAGGTCCACATAACAACAGCAAGCAGCGATTGGAGACTGTATGTCACATGACTCAGAATCGACGTCAATCGCCCAGATGCATATCCACATTTTGTCTTTATTCTAACTGCTGTACTGAATTCATAATTCTCCTATTCTTCCTTCCTCTCTTTTACTGCTTTCGACCGATTTTTTCTTCCTTTTCATCTTCTGTCTTGTTACTTTATAACTTAATGTGCTATGGTGTGGAAACGTGGACCGTTAACCAGTAATGCATGGTCCTATGGTCCGATGATATTGAGAATGATGATAATGACAGTATGTTAGTAGAAAATTCTCGCTTAATATTCAATTCAGCGCCAGGTTATACACATATTTCGATGTTTTATACTCCCTACGGAATTCCTTCGGTGTTCGTATTTGTTTTCTAAGCTGTGGTTTCGGTTGGCAAACTTTCCAATGCCCTAGTGGATATCTTCATTGATTCATTAGAACTGGTTGTTAAGCTCTGATGTTGATATCTAGGATGACGCTGAAACACTTGCTGACGAAGACCTCTGTTAAAAAGCAACTTACTGTAAGCATCCACACCCGTAGGCTATAAACATTCTCCAAGACTCATTCATTGACTGTAATCATGCCTAATGAAGTATTAAAAGCTATGACCTTCATGTTCTTGCATTCTTGTGTAAGGAGGGGGTCATAATGTAATTATTATTATTCTTTTAGAGTCTTGGAGAATTTTTCATCACGAACTCTTAGGATGACGTGAACTGTGATCCAATATGTAGGCTTCTAAATTCACTTAATGTCTGATGAGATGTTACTTTTAGATTAGCTAGATGCAATTCTTAGTCTGCTTGAAACCAAGTCATCGTTACAACTATGATATTCAAAACTTCGTGTCCATGAATTACTAATTAATTAAAATATAGTGAGGTGAGTGAGTTCAGCGAGACGTTTACTACTTTAAGCGTCTCTTTTCATTCCCTTTTTTTAGGTTTCAACCCGTTACTTGTGACTAAGCTGAATTTAATTCATGCCGGTGTCTAACTACCGCATTGAAAACTCTTTCTCATAGCGGCCGTATAAATGTGTTTCATATGCTTCAAATAAACTGGAATAAAATATCTAGTTCAAAGTAGCTTTAGAGCCTCGAGAAAAAGGCTAGCTTTCGCCTAGCGGGCAAGTTTGAGTTTACCAAAAGTCGAAAGAGTGAATGGTTCGAAAAGTTGAGCTGTTTACGCTGTCAAGACGATGACTTTAATGGAGGTTGTAAAGTTGAGTATTTCACTGACTCAAAAAGTTCAGAAGACTTCATCATCTACAGATTCAACGGGAATTAAAAATAGTGTAGGTCAAGAATTTATTTTCAGGAGTTCTGGAGTGCAAGGTAATTCAGGGGTGTAGATTGACTTCGTAGAGAAATTGCATTAAGCAGTCAAAGGTATGAAATAAGAAGTATTCAAAAATTACATGATACAAAACTGACATAAACCCGTGTGCAAAAGCTTATATGTAATATTTAGTCTGTTTATTAGAAATGTCACACAGTGAAACAGTATCATTTACTGAATAACTTTGTGGGGACTAGTATTACTACTTGGCTGCCCAAACCTCGGTAGGTGGAGCGGGGCTCGAACTAGTGACTCAATAGTTGGTAGTCGTATTTTTAAACCACTGAGCCACAGCTCCAACCCAGTTACCGATATATCGCACAATACATATACTTCCCAGCACGCGCAACTACCCATATCTTGACTTCCAGGTTGCATTTAAATTTGTTAAGCATCGGGTATTTTAAGGTATTTTACCTGCGCAAGTCACTTATAGCATCGGTGAGATATCCACTTATCTACTGAGGGTCTAGTGTTCTGCGCAAAATTTCGCACTGTCCCATTCAATGGTTGGGAAACATGGTCATTAAAGATGGAGGACATGATAAGGCCTTAGCTGCTTGACCACCGTTGCCTTCGTAGCATGAACCGTGTATCATGAGGTCACTGCGTTGGTAATGGAGAGGTTACGCTTAGAAACCCAAGTGACAAGGTTTTAAACCTTCATCAACTCGTATGACTGGTAAATATGTTCTCCATGCCTTGCCACCGTCTAATCCGATGCATGATACTAGCCGAGGCAGTTTAAAGCCAGGAAAGGGTAAAAATGTGCCACAGTGAAATGTGGTTTCAGTCTTTGGATGTCAGTGTGAGCCGTATAGGGAGGTGTAGACTTCTTAGTGGAGGTCGGCGTTGCAACCGAAACCGGTGATTAAGGTCTGTAGGTGATGTAGCTCAGAATCGATCACTTGCGCATTTGTATCAATGGCTCATCCTCGTCATATTACCTTTCGTCTTTCACGATGCCTTCTCTTTTTCTGTTCTAGTGACTTTCTATAACGTTTGAAAAAAGTCTTACTATTTCTTTTTTTGTTGCTTTGCATATGAAAGTTTTGATATGAGGTATAGTAACTTGAACTATCTCACAACTATAGCAGGTTCCGCATCGACTTCCCATGGGGGTTGCCCTTTATTCTGATAGCAGTGTTTTCAGTGGAGATTCGTCAGTTGAAAGTATATTTGTGTATGGTGGTGGCACTGAAAAAGTGGAGAGAATTTATGCGTGTTGAAAGGCTGTGGAAATGTTTCTCATCTTCGTAATGCAAACTGTTCTCTCTCCATTGATCTGCACTGATGCTTCACTGAGTAATAGGGCATGAAGTGGTTCAGCATGTTGACCATTTCACTTACCTTTGTGGACT